TGGCGAATTCGCCACGCCCAAGCGGGCGTTTTCCACACAATCTTAACACATTATCAAACGGGGGCACACACAGGAATATATAATATTATCTCTAGCTCAGGTAAACAGGCGCAGGCACGGCAACACATTCCACAGCCACAATTCATACTCAATTCACTTCGGCGACTGCTATAAAAAGTATCATCTGATCGAATTCGCAACACGTCCCGTATGATAATTGAGGGAAACACACAGCGGGGGAGGGTAGCTGATAAGGTAAAAGAAAGGTTTTAGTATTGCGATGTCAATGACGGGAGTCTTTCTCTGAATATTACATCTGCGGCGTGGACCTCATCGAATATTTGTAGTATTTCCATTTTTAAATCTCGCATGAATCACAAACTACTGCACAGCATGATGGAATTTTACAAACTTATTTATAAATTATCACAAATATTGTATACAAGGATTGAGATCTAGGAAATACTCTTAGTTTTCATTGTATATATGCATGCATGTGTGTATGTGTGTATTTATGTCAGCACGAACAGTCTAATAAGCATATATTTATGTATGTATGTATGTTCACTGGGTATAATTTTCTGTAAATACATACATGCACATGTATGTGACGTAGAATTTGCACACTTTTGTATTTGTTTATTTATATGTACATATATATATGTGCACATATGTATGTATGTTTCTTCATCTTACTCTATATACAAACACATAAATATATAAGCACACACACAGAGGCACACACGCATAGGTATATGCATATATAAATGTCTGCAAGTACACTGGATATAAATTTACGTTCAGGTAGATATACATATGGTTTTATTGTAGCACATATAGATGAGATTCAACTACTAATTAACTTTCAATTAATTTACCACCAAGCTCAGGTAAGGAGGATTCATATTCCATTTTATAAATGTTTATTTGGGGAATTCATATCCACAAGGCAGTTGAAAAACAATGTAAAAGCCGACTTATACTGCCAGGGATGGAGTTTGCTATTATTATATATTCGATTTGTATACTGACGGAAAAGTATTTTCGATAACAAATATATATTCGATACTTTTAATTAGGACAACAAAAATTTCAGATAACAACATGTTTCTACTGACTGCATTTCCAATCGTTACTATCTATTCGATATCTATCGATAACAATTGTTATTCATAGGCGGAATCGTTAACATTAAAAGTATAGAAATTAAAATCAGCAAGTTGTAGTATTATTATTATTAAAAAATCAGCTAAATATTATCTTTATTCGTAATTACTCATTAATTGATTTACCACTCAGCGTATAGGCCTTGCTTTGACATCGCTCATGGAAATATCTTTTCCGCATTAAGCTAGATGATAAATATAAACAATATTTAGACAAAAATAAAGGCTAGTCTGCAGAAAGAAGCAAGTTTCCATTAATTATTATTGATATAAAATTGTTTTTAATAATTTGTTTTTGGAAATGCTTATAATGGAAATCAGAAAATGAATATAATTCATTTTTACAACATAAGTCCAAAATAATTATTGCTGTTTAATATATATATATATATGTTTATGTATAGAGTAAAAATCAATAAATAATTGTTTAAGTTAATATTTGTATGCAATACTCACGGACCGTTACGGCCTCTGGTTATAAGCCCTACCCAGTGTAATTTGTTGCTTTTAATTGTGTAACAATATATACATACATAAATCTACACGAATAATCTAATTCTTTTATTATGTAGTCAAATGCATACAGTCGGTGTGAAATGAATTACACCCCTTATAATTATTTTATTCGATACTAATCTTAGTAAGTATGAGTAATAAAAGAAACAATGCAATTTAAATACAATAACTTAGGAAACATAAAATTTGCTCTTTGGGGTCTTATATTTAATCTAAGGGCGTCCAGAAAGTTTTCCATCCATATATTCAAAAAAGGTATTTTAAAATTAATTAAAGTATATATATATATGTATTTTTATATATGTATATAATCGTTAAACTTAAAAAAATAATATAGACACGCTTTAAAGCAACCAATTTATGTTTCAGATTTAATGTAAGGCCTTAGAACCAATGGTGATCAAATCAAAAGTGGAATAGCTTCATTGCCGTTATCCTAATATAAAGCAAACAATCTCGAACAATCCAATCGTTATGAGATTTGTGAAATTTACATATGTGGGCTATAACAGTTCTTACATTTCATTAAAGGAATCGGTCGAAATTTAATTATGAAAGTTATAGAAATTTACATTTATTTGGTTGCCGA